GGTCCCTGTTTCTTAAAGTCTAGAGTTATTCTGTGGTTTCTCAATGATGTAGGATCTGGCTTTTTTTTCGGTCATTTATCTTTCCCTTTAAAACTTTAAACATGTATTTATTATGTATGTGTGTGTCTATGTATGTGTGGGTGGGTTTGTGCACATTCCATGCTGTACATATAGAAGAAAAAGGACAGCTTAGGGGATTCAGATCTCTCTACCATGTGTGTCCCAGGCTCAAACTCAGGCTGTCAGGTGCAGTGGCAGGTGCAGTGGCAGGTGCAGTGGCAGGTGCAGTGGCAGGTGTCTTTGCCAGCTGAGCCATCTCACCAATCCCCTCCACTCCTATGTCCATGTGCCTCTTGTGAAAGAGAGCTTTCTTCGGAATGTTCTGAGTACAAATGTCATCTTCATCTCAGTCTGATCATTATGGAGTTGGAATTATCATGGTGAAATGCAGAATGGATATATTCTGTTATAGACTTTTTCCTCCCCAAATAGATGGTTTCCCACTGGGTGAGTATCTGTCATAAAAATATTCCTTTGACTTATTGTGCAAGGTATATCAATATGCACATGATCTCGGATAAAATGACACTATCAATGTCCTTAGCAAGTTACATAAAGCTATTTGTAATTTTCATTTTACCTTTTGACACTTTTTTTCTCTAATAAACAAAAGTAATGCCTGGTGTTTAGTTGCAGTAAAAGAAAAAAAAGTCATTGCCTTGACTAATTAATTTGGAAAGCACTCTTCAAGACAAAAGTTGAGCATACAACTTAAGTAGGAACTTCACAGCTAAGCACTCAAACTCTGTTTGATTCTTCTATGAGCACACCTGCCCCAGGTCATCTTCCCCTATTGCAGCTCCCAGAAACATCTCATTCTCCATTGCTCTACCATGCACTTGGACACAGCCATCATAGCCCTGGTCCCATCGCCCATGCTGGACTCTGCTTCTTCCTCAAACTTTCCCAGATGCCATCATCTCTAAAAGGGACAGAGAGGGTGAGAACAGAAAGGGGAGAAGGGGATGTCCTCAGCAAGAGCACCCCACTCAATCTGGTGATCACAAGAGTCTGGTAGCTGAAGCCACCCTGCCCCATTCTTGTTATGAGCTTTAGCACTGTGGTTGTTAACACTGCTTGTCAACGTGTCAGGATCTAGAATCACTTGGGGCACCAAGGGCTAGGTGCATCTTTGAGGGAGTTTCTAGATTGGGTAAACTAAGGTAGGAATTCCCATCCTGACTGTGTGTGGCACTGTCCCGTGGGTTAAATTAAAAGGGAAAGGCAAGCTGAGTACCACTTCCTTCTCTTTGTTTCCTGACTGCAATGTGCTGTGACCAGATGCCTCATGTCCCTGTCACCATGGCTTCCACACCATGAAGGGCTGTACCCTTAAACCATTAGCCCACTCGAATGCTTCCTTCCTCAAGATGTTTTTCTCACAGTTTGCCATAGTAATGAAAGAAACAATACAGCTACCAAGCATTTCCTTTGCTTAATGTTCATAGCTATGGGAAAGGAGAAAGAACTCTTAATCACAATTGACATGCATAACAATGAAATCCATTCAATAGCTAACATAGAGCTCATATTCCAAATTCAGTGAGTGTACCAACATGTCTGTTATCATTTCCTTTCCTTTCCTTTCCTTCTTTCTTTCTTTCTTTCTTTCTTTCCTTCCTTCCTTCCTTCTTTCTTTCTTTTGAGACAGGGTTTCTCTGTAGCTTTGGAGCCTGTCCTAGAACTCACTTTGTAAACCAGGCTGTCCTCGGATTCCACAGTGATCCACCTGCCTCTGCCTCCTGAGTGCCAGGATCAAAGACATATGCCACCACACCTGGCTCTGTTACATTTCTTTGGCCCAAGATCTAACCAGGGTCTACTCTACCTAACTTACCAACAACAGACGTTCATCTTGTTTCTAATACCATCAAATTCACATTGAGGAATTCAGGTCAATCGTTCTGTAGAATGCCTTGTTTTGAACCTTTCTGCTTCCGTATTATTAATTCAGTTGCACAATTCAGCTTGAAGGTTACTCAGGTCGTGTGTGTACTTCTTAATTACATCACTTTGGAAGTCCCCTGACAGAAGACTGTCATCTGCTGGTAATGCTGGGTTGGGTCACCAAGCTGAAACTTTACTTTAAAGTTCACTGTTTACAGGCTATACTTTAAGATCATGTGAGTATCCTATTCAGTGACAATGTTTAACTGATTAGTTTCTTAATCATTGATAAGCCTATCTGGAAATTCCAAAACAGATTTTCTAAAATAGTTAATGTTCTAGAACAAGCTTCTTCCCCTTCCCTTTATGCCTGTCAGGTTATCACTCTGTTGTGCATTTTTATTATTATTCAATAAATCATAATCCATTGTAGGTTGAGTGGGCTTTTTCTCAAAATGCTTAGAACCAGAAGAGCTTCAGATGCTGGAGTTGTTCACACTTGGCTAGGGATATTTTCATAGATTTTACCAGTTAGACATGTCTATACACTAAAATCCAAAATGTTCCAAAATCCAACCCATTATGAGGCTCATGAGATTGGGCTATTTAGCTGGCATACATCTTCAGTTCCAGCACTCAGGAGGCAGAGGCAGGTGGCTTTCTGTGAGTTCAAATCCAGCCTGATCTACATAGTGAGTTCCAGGACTGTTACACAGAGAAACCCTGTCTCAAAAAAAATGGAGCTGTTTAGCTTGTACTGATCTTAATCATTTTGGTGTTCAAGCTATGTCCAGTTTAACCAGAAAGAGCTGTCAGGGCTGGAGAGATTGCCAGTGGTTAAGAGCGACTTCTGCTCTTACAGATGACCAAGGTTAGATTCACAACACCCATATAATAGTGCACAATCATTTGTAACTCCAGTTCCAGGGATCTGATGCCCTCTTCTGACCTCCATGAACACTAAATGCATGTGGTTCACAGACACATACACAGGCAACACACACACACACACACACACACACACACACACACATACACACAACGAAAATAGGCAAATCTTTAACAAAGAATAAAATAAAATCATATTCTTGGCTAGGACCTCACTGGTGTTACTTGAATTCCCAGAACCAGGCCTACCTTGTGCTCCCCACCTCCTGGAACCAACATTCTTCTGGGTGCTGTTGATGAGACACTTCTTCCCCCTTTGAAGCAGGTCAGAGGTTACATCCTCTCATGGCTCTCTGACCATAACTTCACCTTCCTCCTCCCTACTTCCTCTGCCTGTGTCATTTGACATTTGTATCGTCACTGGTCACTTGTTGACTTTGATAGAAAGTGAAGAAGAGGGAGCTGGGAAGATGGCTCAGTTAGCAAAGGGTTTGCTGTGCAATCATGAGGACCTCAGTTCAGATCAGCATTCACCACAAAAAAAAAAATGGGGGTGAATGGGTGGAGAGCAGCAAATCAGTAAGCTTCATGTCCAGAGAGACTCTATCTCAAGAAATAAGGCCAGGTACAGTAATGCATGCCTGTAATCTCAATACTCAGGAGCCAGGGGCAGACAGATCTCTATGAGTTTGAGGCCAGGCTGTTCTACACTGAGTTCCAGGACAGTCAGGAATACATAAAGAGACCCTATCTGAAAAAAGGAAAAGTAGGCTAAAGAAATGGCTCCGTGGTAAACTTCTTGTTTTTGCAGAGGACCCGGATGCAGTTCCCAACACCCACATGGTGGCTCTCAACCCTCCATAACTTCAGTTCCAAAGGATCTAACATCCTCTTCTGACTTCTGAGGGCATTAGACATGTGTGTTGCCCATACATACATGCAGACAAAACACTAGTACATGTAAACCACTCATACATGTAATTAAATTTGAAGATTTTGAAAGACAGAGAGAAGAAATAAGGTGGAAAGCAACTGAGGTGGATACCCAATGTCTCCTCTGGCTACCACAGGCACATGTAGACATACATGACCATACAAGCACACACATACAGTTGAGAGAAGAGTGTCACGGGACAAGAGAGACAGATACAATACTCTCCCCAGTCTACAGGAAGCTTCCTTGTTTATGGTTCATTGTAATACTGGTTAACTCGAAAGTAAAGCTTGCATGTCAAGAAGTCACAGTCTTATGATTCTGCCCATGAAATGTATACTCTATTATTTCACTGTGTCTCATATAAAACACCCACCATAAGAAGGACTGACTGCCCAGTGTCGGGCATGCCTATCCCTTTCTCTGACACTGTCTCTCCAGAAAGTATATCATTATTTTGTTTGCTTTCATTCTCAGCCCACTAGAATATAAGCTCCATGAGTGACATCCATTGCCTTGTTAATGGCTTTGTTTACCACTGAAGTCCTAGTGGGTGAAATTTAGTAGATGCCAGTCATGGCTTAGGAATGAGAAAATGGCATCACCTGGAACACAGTTGGAGAGGTAAACAGGTCCTCCCATTTATGTGTTAGGCTTACACTTCTGCCACCTGCCAGAGCCACTTAGCGCCATCTCTATGTTCCCAGATAGGAACACGTAGGACATGATATCACCATTGTTTATTTATATACCTGTCCCACCTGAAAAACTGCAAGTCCCTCTAATGCAAAGGTAAGGTCATGGTTATCTGTACCGTGCCAGCACCACTTCAAAAAATGACACAGAAATGTTTGTAGATTTCCTCTTGTATCCAGCCAAGAGCATGCTCAGTTGCCTGCTGGGCTCTTCCTGGCAGCTGGAGCCAGGCCTCCAGCCTGTTGCTCTGGTCCCAGCAACTCACAAAAGGCCCTTTGACTCCATCGCACGGGCCATTCCAGGAAAAATCACCTTCCCTGCCACAGCACCTGTCACTAAGTCCAGTGTCCCCACAGCTGGGAGTCTATACAGAGCCACAATGTTCCCCTGGGAAACAAGGCTGCAGACAGCTGGGTTAGCAGTATGGAAGGCTGGGGCCTTTTCTTCAGCAGTGACCAGCGCACAACTTGGAGAACAGCCTTGGTGAGGGATGGACAACACATTAACATAGTCCCTGGCCTCCAAGAAGGCTCACCTGATCTTTCCTCTCAATCTTCTTTTCTGTTTGCTGGGGCACTGGACTCTCGGGAGGCACGGTCAGCCGCAGTCTGCAGACATTTGCCTAAAAGCGGTGGAGGACAGTCCAGTTAGCATGAGTGTTGGGGCAGAAGGAGCCAGGGGCCCGGGCTTTCTCTCCACCCATTCCACAGTAATGGGCTCATCATACCACACTGATCACACGGAAGGGGTAAGAGTGAGACCAGGATGGCCTGGCACGGGTGCCCACCAACACCATCCACCAGCAGCCTGCTGCCCAAACAAGGAGTATTAAATACCTTCCGAGGTCTCAAACACTTTTTTTTGAATCAGGACTTCTCTGTGTAGCTTTGTAGACCAGGCTGGCCTCAAACTCACAGAGATCCTCCTGCCTCTGCCTCCCAAGTGCTGGGATTAAAGACGTGTACCACCACCAACTGCCAGGTTTCAAACATTTTTAAATGGCTCAAGTTTCATAACAATATGCCTAAAATGAGATCATTTCACCGACAAAGGCCAAATTCCCACTAGAGAGATAGAAGCCAAATTACTTAATGCAGTCACCTCTTGTCTAAAGTGTAAGATTTCCAGCGATTGGGTAGGAGGTTTGTCCTACTTTTCCGTGCATTTAACTTCTCTACAACAGACTTGGAAATGTTACTGACAAGGCTTTTATTTTATAAGTTGGGTGTGCGTGCCACAGCATGCAGGTGGCAGGGCAAAGGGCAACTCTGTGGGAATCAGCGCTCTCCTTTCACCTCTATGTGGGTCCTGGAGGTCACACTCAGGCCAGGCTTGCATGGCAAGGAGGCTTTCCCTGCTGAGCTGTCTCAACAGCCCCATCCCAACTCTCACAAAGTTTCTTTAATCACATCCGTATCCATTCACAGTAGGTAGAAGTGACTTAAAGGTCCATTGTCAGATGGAGGTGCCCAATATATACACGCAGTAGAATACTACTCAGCCTTACAAAAGAAGGTAGTTCTGCCATAGTGAGACATGGATGAACCATGACGACACACTACCTGAAAGAAGCCAACTACATAAGAGCAAAGCAACCCTCTATACGATGTCACACTCATCGAGAAGGGGAGTGGAAGGTGCAACCAGGACCTAAGGAGATTCAGAAGGGGAGTGAGCATTTACGGGGTCCAGAGCTTCAGTCTGAGAAGATGGGAGAATCGAGAGTGTGGCGAGGCCACGCTACTATGTAGATGCACTCAAAGCCATCAACCTGTGCACTTAGAAACCGCTAAGGTGACAAATTGAAAGAAGACGAAAAGGCCAAAGCTGCTCATGTTTCCTGAAAATTCAAAGAGATCTTTACAGAAAAGGCCGGGAACCAAGAGCATAATTGCCAAGGTGATAACATCTGGCAGTTTCATTAGCTAGCGGCTGTCACTGACCTCTGAGGCACTCCTGTCAGGTTATCAAAGGCTGTCAATAAAGTTCACTGAAATTTTGGAATGAAGGCCAGGAATAGTGGTGCACACCTTTAATCCCAGTACACAGGAGGCAGAGGCAGGCTGACCTCTGTGAGTTCGAGGCTGGGCTGGACCCACAGCCTCCAAAACAATACAGAGAAACACTGTCTCGTAAAAACCAAAAATAAATAAATAAATAAATAAATAAAAAATAAAAAAGAGAAAGTCAACACTGTACTATTCCTCTTCAATCAAACTCAAAAGCATCCACTGAGGAGAGCTACAGCTGTGTGATTTGACAAGAGGCTGGGAACAGCCGGGGATCCTGAGCAGTCATTTTCCTGACCCAAGGAACAAAAACCAGACCAGTGTACCAATGACAAGGCAGGGACAAGATCAGTGGGCTATGCGTTCACAGTATCTGCTGTGTGCCTGGTACCAGCTAGGTGACCCTAAATTCATTTAATACTGAACACAATCCTATGGGAAAGGTCCTCTTACCAGGCCTACTGAGTGATTAGGAAGTTGTCTCTGGCAAGCGGGGTGTGGAGGTCTCACACTAGGATATAGCAGAGCTAAGATTTGAACCTGAGCAGTTTGCAGAGTCTGTGTTCCTTACCTTAACATTCTCTGCCACCCCCATCCTAAAACACCATATGGGCCTGACACATGGGAGGGCTGCGTGTCCCCTATTATACATGAAGTTGTGCCCCACTATAACTCAATGTATGTTCTAACCCCTAGTACCTCAGAATATGGCCTTATGTCAGTATAGGGCAGTGGATCTCAGCCTTCCTAATGCTATGGCCCTTTGATACAGTTCCTCATGTTGTGGTGACCCCCAACCATAAAATGATTTTTGCTACTATTTCATAACTGTAATTTGGCTCCTGTTATAAATCATAATGTAGGGCTGGAAAGATGACTCAGCTGTTAAATCATAATGTAAATATTTTTGGAGATAGAAGTGCACAAAAAGAGTTGTGACCCACAAGTTGAGAACCACTGGTATAGAGTATTTTGCTTTGTTTTGTCTGAGTCAGGGTCTCATGTATCCTAGATTGGCCTGGAACTTGCTTTGTAGCCAAGGATAACCTTGAACTTCAGATCTTCCTACCTCCACCAACCAAGTGCAGGTCTTATGGGGCCTGCACCACCATGCCTGGTTTATGTGCTAGGAACGGAACCCAGGGCCTTATGCATGTTATAGGAAAGTTCTGTCAACTGAGCTACATAGCACCTTTACAGAGTCAATCATGTAAGATCTGAGATCACAGAAGTAATCCTTATCCAAAGTTATTGGTAAACTCATAAAAGTGGGAAGTTCAGAGACAGATGTACAAGGAGGATACCTCGCAACCCTTAAAATGCTCATCTAACTCAGGTCTGGCAGTGCTGGTCCATAACCTCAGCTACTTGGGAGGTAGAGACAAGAGTAGGGCAAGCTGTAGGACTGCTTGCTATCAAAGTAAGTTCAAAACCAGCTTGAACAACTTAGTGAGGTCCTGTCTCAAAAAACTGCCAGGCTGGGCATGGTGGCACGTGCCTTCAATTCTAGCACCCGGGGGTATGGATGGGGCAGCTTTGTCTTCATAGCAAACTACAGGCCAACCAGGATTACATCATGAGACCCGATCTTAAAAAACAAAACCAAAAAGCCATTGCCTGGCATGTACAAAGCCCTGGGTTTTATGTGCTACTCTCTTCTCCCATAAAACACACAACGAGGTTTCAAGGTACCTTTCCATCCTATTTTCTTCTGGGAAAACTTCATCTCCCAGGGACCTCAGGATGGAACTGGCCTGACACCCAAGGCTATCTTTGTCCTGGCCACCTTTACAACCAGCTTTCAATGCTCACAGCCAGACGTGTTGGCCAAGATGACAGCAAGCCATTCTACCAGGTAGCTCTTTCCAGATGGGCAACAGCACTACTGGAAAACTTGGTGTCGCCTGTGAAGAAAAACAACCTTCTGACTATAGGCCACTCCACCCAGCTCAAACCAGACTGGCATTTACAGACATTAAAGTGTACGTCGCACCAGGTGGACCATGCAAATCTGTGATTCCAGCATCGATCATTTCTGTCAGGCTGAAATGACCCAGGGCATATCTGTTGGCAGAAGAAAGGAGGTATGCTTCTACTGTACCATACTCCACACACACATGTAGATGCACACACATGTTTATGTATTCACATGCACACAGGCCCCCACATTCACTAGCTAAGTGGCTTTGGGAAATTTATTCTCTGAATTTCAAGAATAAGATGAGATTAAATGAAAGGCATGCCTCTATAAATGTTGAGAGAGAGAGAGAGTGTGTGTGTGTGTGTGTGTGTGTGTTTACATATTATACACACACTTGTGTTTGAAAGTATGGACACACACACATACAGTTGTGTCAGCTCTAGCTACCACGTTTGAGGCAGAGCATCTTGGCTGTCTGCTGCTACACACACCAGACTAGCAGGCCCGTGAGCTTCCAGGGATTCTCCTGCCTCTACTTCCATCCCTTTGCAGGAATGCTGAAGTTACAATTTTTAAGTGGGCTCTAAGGATTCAGACTCAGGTCCTCACACGTGCTCAGCAAGTGCTTTACTGGCTGAGTCACCTCCCCAGCCCTGTTAAAGCATTTTTATTATTATCCAGATACTATCACTGTGCCCTCAACCTACACGCCCCAAAACAAAACAGGTCCACTTGGCTTCCTGACCCTCATTTCCATGGAAACTATTTGGGCAACGAGATTTGGAACATGAGACGGTAAACAATGCCTTTTCACTGGCTGATGGATCCCAGAGGGGCATTCCCTAATGGCCATAGTTTTCAGGAAAAAAGACCTGCATTAATTTATCCAAAGGTGAGATGGACCTCACCATTGCTGAACCCATTCTCCACTGGCCCTCTGGAAACTCTGACATTCCTCCACACGCTTCCCACAGTGGGCAGCTACACCATGTCATCAGACTGGGCTGTGAGCCATGACCACCCTAAGGTCCACAAAGCCAACAGCAAATACAGTGCATAAAAATGAAATGAGCCTGTAACATAAAAGTTTTGGCTTCAGCTCCTGGGCACTTGCAGCAGGTGCCTGGGGCTACACCCTCAGGTCCTACCTGAAGCATCTTCTCGAATCAATAGAGGGTCTGATGGGAACAGCTATTCTTAGTAGACGCTGACCCACTGATGGCCCACTGTCAACTACATAAGCAACTTAACCCCAGGGTCAGGATCACACAGCTCCCTAACAAACACATGATCCCAGGGAAGGATCACACAGCTTCCTAACAAACACATGATCCCAGGGTCAGGATCACACAGCTCCCTAACAAACACATGATCCCAGTGAAGGATCACACAGCCCCCTAACAAACACATGATCCCAGTGAAGGATCACACAGCCCCCTAACAAACACATGATCCCAGTGAAGGATCACACAGCCCCCTAACAAACACATGATCCCAGGGTCAGGATCACACAGCTCCCTAACAAACACATGATCCCAGTGAAGGATCACAGAGCCCCCTAACAAACACATGATCCCAGGGTCAGGATCACACAGCCCCCTAACAAACACATGATCCCAGTGAAGGATCACACAGCCCCCTAACAAACACATGATCCCAGGGTCAGGATCACACAGCCCCCTAACAAACACA